GTAGAGGCATAAACTTGGGAGCTCCTCTAACATGTATTCAGAGCATCAGCTGGGAAGTCATTAAATGGTCTGTCTAGCCATGATCTTAAGAGAAGCTGGATAAAACAAAGGAGCCATCATAGGTAAAGTACCAACACACCAACGTAAGCAAAAGCTCTCACTGGGACGGCTTAAAAATGCTTAGCAGCATCAGGCGGCATAGCCCAGGGATTAGCTCCTGATCTGGTAAGAGTCCTGCTGACGTTCCCTAAGGCAGCCCTCCCTTTGGCGGGTACTGCCCAGCACAGACACGGCGTCCAGCCTTCAGCTGGCAAGAGGGACGCGCTGCTGCGGCTGTCACCCGTCGGGTGTTCAGTCCCGTGACAGGGAACCTCCCGAGCCACGGTGAAGCCAGGCATTTAGTTGTCCCCTGGCAAGTTTGCAGCTAGAAATGATGCACCACTGACCTCCTGCATGCTCTAAGAACGGGACCCAGGAATGATGCTGTGATGATCCAGGTGGCACTCTCAGATGATGTGAACGATGTGCGAAGGACGTGGTTTATTTTCTGCAGTCATGAAGTAATCAAGAAAGATAATAAGAATGTAACACATAGTGAGTGGCTCAACGCATATGGTTTTTTATCATTCAGTTTCAAGCCATTAGAAAATTTCTGAGTTATTCAAGTGCACTTTAAACAAAAACATAATATCCATACCAGAATGCCATTTTTCTCAATTTGCTGCTTTGTCCACTTATTTTTAATGCTGCCCCTTCTTAATTCTCCATGGGTTTTTAACTAAAACAAAGTAATAATATTTCCATGGCCAAACAAAGCAGAAGTGGCCCCAAGGTGTAGATGAAGACAGCTGTGAAGTGCTGCTATGGAGGGACACAAAAGCCCATCAGGGTGTTGTGTCCATCACATCAGCAGTGGGACAAAGAGATGCGCTGGATGATGTGGAGAGAGGGATTTGGGTTTTTTAAAGACCTCGTAACTCCTCTGGTCCCTTCAAGTTGCCTGTGCCTGGCCGCTGGGGGAGGAGGGCTCGCTGCTGGTGCTGCCCAGCTGTTTCGCCCACCCATCTGCAGGACACAAAGTCCCTTCCTGGGGCTGGCACGTCTCTCGTTCGCCCTCGGGCTGCTGCAGCAAACCTCCTCTCCTCGGAAAATGAGTGTTGTAGAGGAGGGGGGGATGTAATTTTTAAAGAGATATTGGACTCACTCATGAAATCATTGTTTCAAGCTTCCTCAAAATGGAAAGTAATGAACCCAGCACCACTCTGATTTTCAGGGCAGTGCCTTAGCCACGATTCTCCCTTGGCACCCTGGGCTCTCCTTACATTTCCCCTCGGCTCCCCGAGGGGGAGGTAAGCGTGCGGGAGTTCAGGAGTGCAATGAGCGAGCCAGACCACCCGCTCGCACCGAGAGCCACAGTCAGGGGAGCACTTCTGCTCAGCAGCCTGGCCACGGCACATGGGATGGGTGAAAAGGTGCCGTTCGCGCGCGGAACGGACAAAGCACAAGCACCGACATGTTCACGGGGAAGTTTGCATCTCGGCAACTGGGAGACTGCTTTGTCAACAGCAACTGGGCTGCTGGTCAGCTATGTTTCCAGCATGAATATTGAGGGGAAAGGCTATTTGTTGCTTTTTATAAATAACAGAAGGATTTTGCTTTCGCTAAAACCAGTTAAACAATTACTTTTATTGAGTTAGGCTAAAGGTGTTATTAAATTAGTGTTGAAATTATAAAAGTTAAGCAAGCCTTTTTTGATCCCAAATTAGGCATATGGTTGGGCATTCTGTGGAATTGGGCAAGCAATACGATGGGGGGGTGGTCTGCGGTTAGGTGTCATGTAAAGGGGAACCTGGATGGGAGGGGCTGGGGAAGAATGGAATCTAGCCAAAAAGGAAGCAAAGAACTCCTGAGGAAGAGGAACCTGGACTTCGCTGGCCCCTCCTCGTGCCCCCCTCTGAGGGCAGTGGAAAAGTACTGAGAGAGAGAGAGACAGCCTTGGAGAAACAAAGAAAAAGGAGCTGCGCAGGTGTAAAGAGTAGAAAACCCGCCATTTTCGCTTAACCAATGAAATCTCCTAGTTGCTCTATAAAAAGAAGCCCCCAGCGCTGTATTCTTTGCTCCGCTTTGTCCCCGAATAAAACATTTTTTTTTTTTATATACGTGAGCTTGTTTCTTACATTGCTGTATCTCAAGTCCAAAGATGAAATGCAGAAGTGAATTAAAATTTCTGTGGTAAATGAGTGAGGCTGATAATCAAAGGTTGGGCTGTAGCTTTTCTGCTGCATCTACACAGCACATAAGTCATCTGCAATCTGCCAGTACAAATGCAAACAACCACTTCAAAGACCAGTGGCATCTTTTTTATTTTTTCCTTTTCCCTGGCTAGAATCTCTATATGCCTGTATATGCTTTGTAGTATTATTTTCTAGCATGACAATTTAATGTTTTGTTTGCTTTTTTAACAGAGAAAAAAAGCCTTTTGCTTTAATGATATTCACCGTAGTGAAGTTAAAAGTGGCTTACAGAAGCGGAGTCTGGCATTTCCTGTTTGCACCAGTCAGTTGCTAGTGATTGATCTCAGAAGCCAAGCTTCATTTTCTAAGCAAAATAAGCTGCAGTTGGCAAAACCTGATTAAAGGGAGTGGAGTTTTATCTGATGTGGCTGTTGCCGCTCATTTCAGTGTAGTGTCTCCCTTTTCAACTACAGAGGACCTGCAGAACACAGAACAAAAAGTATGCATCAGTTTATAATGCACTCTTCTAAAAGTTTAAGTGTTCCTAATAGGCCATCAAACTGCTAGGAATCCAGCATGTGATGGGTGTGTCAGCATGTAGCATAAACTCCTAATATAGCTGTTGTAGAGTTTGTGCTGTGCCTCACAGCACTCTTCTAGTTCCCAAAAAGGAGTATTAACTCTATTTCAGCCCAAATCAGGACATGCTGTCATCCTTACATAGATGTCTACTGCAAGAGAAGCCACTAGCTGGATTGATGCGACTGTTAAAACCATTGTGCGAAAACTGCTGCCTGTGATCATGAGCTAAATATATTAAAAAAAAAAAAGAGGTGCCTTGACTTTGCTTCCTGATTTTTGAGCCTTTAGGACATAGCGGACCCATTGTGGCTTCTCCCTCTAAGAATATAAAACCCAAAAACATCTGAGATACCATCGCAAACAAGTCATGCTAGAGTTCCTTATTCTGCTCGCTGGGGAGGGCTGGCATCACTCCATGTTACTTCCCAACAGTATGAAGAGTTCCTTTACCACTCATTTCTGAGGAAGGGGAGACAGTGAGAGAAGGAAGAGTAGGTGAAATTACATTTGAAGAGGAGCAAATATAAAACTGACAGGCTTGGAGACAACATGTTTCATTTGAATGGCTATTTGCTGAGCAGCTCCTTTGTGAGATAACTAATGGCATGTGAAAAGGTCCTACGCACAGAAAACAGTCTGTCATGTTAAAATAGAGAGCTCTGAAGCTGTGAAGTCTGCCAGAGCTGTAAAAATAACTTTTGCTCAGGAGGGGAGGCAGGGAACCCCACAGCTCCCAATTCTTTTCAAAGACAATGCCCAGTGCCGCAGCAAGGAACGCAGAGGCCACTGTGGCTCCTACAGATCTCCACCAAAACCTTAATTTAAATTACTGTTGAAGATTAAAAGCTAGCATAAGCCTACACTCCCTTGCAACCGCATTAATTATTAAGGCAACATGCAGAGCTCTGTAATTGGCTCCTCTCTGTTAGCATGGCAGCTGAGTTTATAGGTTAGGGTGGTGGCAGGATGATGATGATGATGATGATTACATACGCTATCTGGGGCTCCTGGTTTTGGGAGAGAGGTGTCTTCTAAAACTGGAGGCAATCTTAGGAAAAATCAGCGTGCCCTTCCGGTGGCTGAGGCCAGGAGGGAGGAGGGGACAGCCTAGCTGCAGGGCAAGCAAGGGCACAGTGCTGCGCTCCCCCTGCTAACCGCTGCCCGAAATGAAACGGTGACACTGCCAGGAAGGGAATGCAACACAGACCCCCGTCCCCAACCAAACAAAAAATATCCCTTCCCCCTACACTGGCAAAAAAAAAAAAAAAAAAAGAAAACAAAACAACGGTGCTTCTGCTCTGCATAAGCATTAGCTACTGTGCTAAGTTTTACGCAGCTGTAACATTGCCTTGCTTCCATTTGGCTCATTTTATTGGGAAGTTCTGTCCCTTCCACCGGCCAGAAACCACACAGCTCCTGTGAGGGACCTGTCTCTCATTCCTTCCTCCATTTACAAAGTGATTCATAAGCAACTTTACAAAATGGGCCCACCGCACACTTGAAGAGCACCTGGAAGTGCGGGTCCAAACCCAGCGCCCCCCCGGGCCTGCCAGCAGAGCTGCTGCGTGTCCTGGCCCCCCCAGGCCTCTGCCCGGGGACCCGCCGCACGCAGGGGCCGCGCCGCCCGCACCCGGCACCCAGGGTGCGAGGGCCGCGCGCCGGCAGCTTGGCTCAACTTCGGCAACGTGTCACCTACCCCGTGGCCACCCTTCTCCGTCCCGGAGCCCTGGGCTTGCTCCCGAGCTGGCTCAGTCCATCGCAATTTGGGCCAAGCCCGCTGCAGTGTCTAAATCCTGGTGACAGCTTCAAAAAACGCCACCCATGAGATATGCAAGAGGGGAAGGGAGTGATCTGAGGTACCGCCAACATCTCTGTGTACAGATCCAGAGAAGAGTGGGACGGGAAATCATTCCAAGAGGTGGGAAGCCAAGAGAGTGCCCCTGCCTGGGAGACACGAAGGCCTCAAGGAAGAGGGCATCCTCCTGGAAGATGGAAAGCAGGAAGAACTGTCGTCGTTCCGGCATCATTTAAATGTGAAAATTGAAGGCAGCGGTGGAGAAATCAGCACCGGTCACTCCCCGCTCTCGGCCAGAGTCTGGCCGGGGAAGGGGTCACAGCAGCGGGCCCTGGGCAGGCCACGCCGCTGCCCCTCAGCAGCCGATATCACCACGACAACAATGCCAATTAAACTGTCAGTCAAGTTTAATGCATCAGAAAGAAGTAAAACTACATTGGCATATTTAAGACAAACACTTTTTTTTTTTTTTTTTCTATGCACACTATCCACTGGACAGTCCCCTTTTCAAAATAACTACTTTTAACAGTCCAAGACACTTCTTCAGAAATTCTTCACATATTCAACCCTCCACGCTTTTCCTTTTTTTTTTATTTGTCTGAGAAGAAAAAAAATCATTAAACCTGAAAACATTTACATTGCAAGCCATGTTAGAATGCATAATTGGCATACAATAACCAATGTATAACAATTGTGTTTTACTTAGTTCACTTTGTTCATCAATAAAAGAATATAAAAATCTTGTTCAACCGAGTGTTGTGTATTAAAATAGATTTGTATAGTACTGCACAGTTTCTCCCGGAGTTGTGAAAATGGTTGAAGGGACCATGTGCTGCCTAGTGATGGGCGACGGAAAAAGCCAGTCCCTCACGTGGTTTTTTTTAGTTTAAAAAAAAAAAAAAGATATTCGGCACCATGTGATATGCTGATGTGAGAGACTAGCCTTGTGTCGTGCTCTGGTGGCTTCTTGCTTTCCTTAAGTACCTGTTGTGCTAACTGACAGAGAACTCATAAACAACAGAGACGATGGCATCTGGTGTGTGTGTGACGTTGAGAAAAACCGGGGTGCCCATCACTACCTTCCCGGGCAGGCCGCAGGGAGATGGGGGGCCTATGGCCTACGGGGGGGCCAGGCGGACCCTTGCAGTATCAGGAAGACTAGCTAGCGAAACAAGCAGGTGCACTGGGATTTTCTCAGGTTAATGCTAAGCTCTTCCCAAATGTGCTAAAATCCAACAAAATATTACAAAGGAATCAAGTTTCCAAAAAAAAAAAAAAACAACAAACCCTTTAAATTTTCCACAGCCTGTCCCTCCCCCAGAACTCCTGATATTATCCAGTATGAGAAACAACCCCTTGAGGCAGTTTTTATTTTCTTTTTTTCCTGTACCATTTCAGCAGATATTTCTGCAAGCAAAAAATAAAAATAACAGTAATAAAAAAAAATCACGTTACATATTTTTAACAATAAAAATGCAGTACAAAAATGTAAAGTTCTCTTTTTGGCATATTATCTGTACTGGCAAGAAACAAAAAACAGAACATTTATTTGCTCTTGTTCTTAAAAAAAAAAAAATAAATCCAAACTAACAAAAAAGAAAACCCCCAAAATAATCTTTTTAAAAAATGAAACCCAACCTGCCAAAGATATCCACTATCATGGTTTATGCTAAATCTTGCACAAAAACTCCATGAGAAAAATACACCGATAGCAAAATAAGTAAAAAGGACCTGCAAAAAAGTAAGGAGTTTTACAGTCATACTTTTTTAAATACTTCGGAACGCATATACAGAAGCATCAGCATGAAAATACTTCAATATTTTACTAGAAATGCTAACTTCATACAGTTTCTTTATTTAAATATCTGCAATTCTCAACTCTAATAATACTGAAAAAAAAAGATCTTTTGTTTCGAAGGCTCTGTGAGTGTCCGTGACGCCATTCTGGTCAAAACGGCCCCATCTCCAGGTCCCCTGAATCAACGGGGCCAACTTTGTTCCTCTGATAAGAATCCATGTCAAGTCCTAAGTAGTTCAGTTTCTGGTTACCTCACCGATTTCCCTCCCACACATAGCTTTCAGCCCAACTACTTCTCTACTAGCTCACTAAATCCTTGCATTGAAAATTTTCCCCTTAAAGCAGAACTGGAAACCTGTCTGCCCCCCACAAAAGGATATCCCTCTTCCTATCGGCCATACTTTTCCTGTTCATCCTCAGTCATAAATACATTAAGGCCAACATAACAAAAAAAATCTCATAAGCACTGAAGGTCTCGGCAAATACAAAACCGCAGCACAACCCGCTCTGTGGGAACCTGCTGCCACAGTGACCTACAAACTGGACTGATTGGTTTGCAAGTTTCTACGCGTATCAAAACTGAGATTGTTCCTTCTCTCCTTTGTTTCAGTTTAATCTCTCCTCTGCGCATGTGTACAAAGTTTTTTTACCCCCCTTCCTTCGCCCTCTCGCAGCCGTCTCTGTCAGTTGTTACCCTGTGATTGCTGCAAGGCTTTGTGCATGGCAGCAGAGGCAGGGGAGGGTTTGATCCAGGGGACAGTTAGCAGGGAGGAGGTGGTGGTGGTCGTCATGGTAACCTGAATCATCTGCTCGTTTTGTATCAGTCTAATGAGGGTTTTGAGACGTTCCAGTGATGACTGAGTCCCTTTCTGCTGGGCCAACAGGCTGGTTTTTAGCTCTAAGCATTTCTGTCAAATAAAGAGAAGGGGAGAGAGAAGGAAAGACTGAGAATACATTCAAATTGGTGTCAAACACCTCTCCAAACATCCTTTTGTGTCTTGAGTGCACGTCCTGCTCAAATGAAGTATATTCTCCTTTGGGGATAGCAAAACCACAGCTTAACGAATGGAGTAATCACCAGTGCTGCATACACTGCAGCAGCTGTCTAAGGTAACAATATTCATCCCAGTCCAGATGCATTCAGAGGATGTTTCCGACCTCATCCTGTAGACAGCCTGGCAGAAATGCCTTCTGCACTCCAAAGAGATTACTGGCACGGGACTGTAACAGCTGTATTACTGGAAAGTACTGAAGGCACCAGTGAGGTCGCTAAATCTTACCAAAAGGCACTGATAAACGCTTGAGGGATAAACCTCACCATGATGCATACTGTACGTGCCACACATTTTAGGGAGCCAGTACTAAGAAGATAAGTTGATCTCTCTAAACATGATGTCAGTATCTTCCTGGAAGAAAACTTGATCTAAGACACTACTGTTACACCACTGCGGTCACAAGAAAGGCTTTTTCCTATGGGGTGGCCAAAGGGCACCCCACAACCACTTGAAACATTTCATACAAACATGAAATTGAGCATGAAATTGAGCAGGAGCCAAACCAAGGTATTCCGAATCCTGCTCTTCTCCAAGAAGAGATTAGGAAGAACCAGTAATTCTCCTTTCCCTCCCTAACCACGTACTGCTGCAGCTCACACCCCGTCCTTTACACTATTAACTGGCCTGCGAGGAATTATGTGACAGAGCAAAGCCCTGAGCACGTCTGCTAGATGGAATGGGACAGTGGCCTCTGGTATCTGAAACCTCCTGTTTTCTTTCTCCCAGTGGGCCCAGGGGTCTGGCAAAACTGGTTACTTGTTGCTCCTCTTTGGCTGCGGTCTAGACTGCCTGGGGTAGCGGGGCGGATTCTCCAGTCCTGGGGAGGTGGGAAGTGCTCACTTGAAAGTCAAGGTTGTTTGAAAAGCAACTGTGTGGAGCTGCTCAGATGTTGCTTTAGACAGATGAAATCTCAGGTGAAGGATAAATCGTGTTCTGTTTTTACCAAATAATACCATTCCACCTGTGGTGTGTATGAGAGTGTTCTTGTTAATGTAAATCTCTGTTAAGGCAAATGTCAGAAATGAAATTGCTCTGTGCCAGAACACCTTTAATTGCTTTTCTCCTTTCAAGTGGATATATCTCCAGTACATATAATCATCAGTTTATATTACCATTTAAATAAGACAGTGTTGCCCACAGAACCTGATTCTGCTTAGGTAGAAATCTTACTGATTTTGACATCCCCTGACATACGCCCTGATAGCTGACTGCATCCCCAAATGCTTTTCTTTTTCCAAACACCTCATCCCACTACACTTTCCTACCTACTAAAGATATTCTGTACCCCAGAGTCACTGCTTCATACATATGTGTGTTTCCATTAATGCTGATGGTGGTTATACACACTTACAGGGAATATTCCCCACCGTGATGTCTTTTAATAAGTTATTGCTTTTCCTTCCACTCTACTTTAAATGTAATAAATATTTTAACATGCCTCTTCTGGATAACTGCAGTGGTAAAACAAGCAGTGACCAGTTACTCCTGAAGCTGCCACTTTGATTTTTCCAGAGTAAGGAAGTTTCAAGTATTTATTGAGACTGCCACACAAGCTAACAGCTATCCCTTAAGAGTGTCCTGCAGTGAGGTAGTCCCAAATAAGTTCCTTCATCCATGGAGGAATTCAATTATGGCTTTGAACTCAGCCCACTCATTACTGCCAGAGACTGGTCCTCATAGCATGGTATGTGTGGGAGACATCTCCAGCCAACATTTAGCTTCAAAACGAGTTCACGGAAAAAAATATTGTGAATCCATTTCCAGTCATGGAGAGGTTGTTACAACATTCATCCCTGAGACGAATAAAGATGGGTATTTCTACCTAATTTCAAGAGTTTTGAGCTAACGTACAGGCAGCTACCACTGGAGGACACGCTTGCGACTAAACTTTTCACCTGGAGAATGGAAGTGTCTTAAAGTCACTGGGTAGATCAGAGATGTGTACAGCACTACAAGAAAGGCAGCTATGGCTATTTTGGGGGTTTTTTTGTGTGTGCAACAGGAATTCAGGTAATTTCTCCTCCTCAGCCTGCCAAAGCAGCTTGCTTTTGTGCATAAAGGAAATTCACGTGGTTTTTCTCAGAGAAACACTTGAACATCTGTAGCTTGGGAGTATAAATCATTTTCTAGCTGCAAAATATCAGTTTTCCAGGCATAAATTCTTTATAAACATCTCTGCAGGAGACTGTGTCCCCAGCCAGGTGTCCTACCTTCACTGCATTGTTGAGAAGTCGATCTTTTTCTTCCAACTGCCTATGCTCACTCTTCAGCTCACTGCTTCTCTTTAATAACTTTCGCTTCTCTTCTTCTTTCACTGCAGAACAATAAGATTAAGGATGTAGAAGTTAAGAAGAGGACATACAGCAAAGCTGTGTGCTTGACAACAGAAGGCAGAAGCATGTATTTTGAATTGTGAGTTTCAGGTCTCATTAGCGTTTTGTCAGCAGGTACAGCCAAATAAATCTGGAGTTTCTGCTTGCATGTGTCTACGTCAACAGCTAGCACACAGGACAACCCAAAATCTATTGTGCACCTTTGAGATGAACCAAAATTAATCATTGGACCACATGTGGTCCACAGGTCTCCAAGAAAGAGGTGAATGGTATTTAAGAACAGGTCGGTCACCTGGAATGGCAACAGTTAGCAACCCTGCCTGAAAAGCACAATCATAACAGTACCAGACCTCTGCAAAGCTCCTTACAAATATGATCTAATTCCCCAAACTGCACATTGTAAGAGTGCAACAGGGATCTAAATAAGAGTAGCGCTCAATGCACAGATACCATACGACATCTGATACTAATGACTGCGATACCAAATAATACCAAAACAATTAGGAGCTAATATTGCTCTATCTAGGCTGGCATTGTGCTACCTACACAATTACATGGCTCTGCCTAGCCTGACTGTGTTTCTCTGCCTCCCAGCCTGGTAAGATTCTGCCTCAAAATCCTGTTTGCAGCCCTGTTCTTGGGAAGGCACCACACTGATGATAGCTTCTTCCACAGAGTGAAGTTCCTGAGAGATCAATCTCAGTCTCCTTAAAGAGAGAAGCCAGTGAAGGAGCAGATAGAGGGGAAGGGGGGGGGGGGGAAGTGACCTGCTGTTGCCAGCCACAGCCTTTTATGGCTCTTTGCTTAATAATGCCATCATAGCTGGTAGCATTACACCACTACTCTGCATTAGTGCTGTGAAGGACTCAAATGGCATCACTCGTCACAAGCAGGGAATCCCTTGTCAGTAGTTGTGTTTATCCCTACCTGTTTTATGAGTAACATAGGAGTGAACAATAGCCAGAGTTCCAGTCCATGGCACGTTGTCATCTTTCTTTAACACCTGTTAGCCCAGGAAACAATAAAAAGTTAGGACTCTACAACGACACACATTAATGTTTTTCTTCCTCCAGCCTCACAGCTCTGCAGGACCAGATCTAGGGTCCTTGTCTCAGAATCTGCAAGCTGAAAATTAACGAGAGAATAATTTTAGTAGTTGCCTCCATTGGGGCTTTCTCCTTTGCACATCAATATAAACAGCTCTATCAAACAGTACGAAAAGGGGGTTACAAATACTCTGTTCCTTGTTGCCATGGCCAGAAGACATTTTTCAGTCCCTGATAAGCAGATCTCCAGACTGTCAGGAGTGTTGTCTACTCAGCGTGGAAGAAGTTGCCAGTGCATATGAAAACATGACTGCACGGATTCAATCCTGGGCTGCACTGCTCTCTGCAACTGCATACCAGAATTTCCCCTTGGCATTTTCAAAGGAACATAGGAGTGATCTCAGTGCTGAACACAAAGAACTCTAAAGCACAAATTCTAAGCCTCCGTTTTACAATTCAGTGATACTGTACTGTTTCAGTTACTGTTTTCCTGTTCATGCAATCAGCATTATTCACACCAATGAGACAAATTAGCATTTCTGACATGACTATGATTAATAGTTCTGTGTAATAAACATGATTTAAAGAAAAGGAAGTGATCTCCTCACAGCTTTCAGATCCACTGAATAACAGTGTCGCCTTCTGACACTGTATCCCTCATCTATAAGATTTACAATACTTGTGTGGCAACCCTATAAACTGATGGCTCTATTGTAAAGAAGGGAAACCAAGGAAATGAAGAGACATTTCTAAAGGACAAGTCTCAGAAGATATGATTACAGGGAAGTTAAGGCACTCAGTGTATGTTCTAACTCTAGGATGATGAAAATACCAGAAACAAATGCTGCAAACTCTACTAAAAGCCTCTCAGTATTACTTTAGTTAATGCGGTCTGCTAAACTGTGACCATAGGTTAGATTAGTTTAGTGGTACACAAATTCGAGGTTTCCTCCATTTCCTTTTTTTGATGTGCTATGTTCCATGTAGCTTACCTTCTGTTGGCACTTTGGACAGACCCAAACCCCCTTGGGGGAAGTTTTGAGAGGTGGGTCCAAGCAGTTGAGGTGATACGCTCTGGGACATGTGCCACAGGGCTGCAAGTTAACACCACGCTTGCAAGCAGTGCAGTGTTCATCATGGTGGATCTCATTCTGCAAGAGAAGAAGGATGGCTTGGGCAAAGTCAATCCATTGAGAACTCTCTGTACAGCATTTAAGGCCTCTATTGCAGCAGACAGGCTCACTCAAACACAAAATCTAATTGTCAGAAAGGACCCTGGCAGCTGTAGGAGATGTCAGAAATAGTGGTATATGATAGCAACAAATACAAACAAACAAACAAAAGAGCCAGAAGCAAGTTCCATAAATTGAAACAGACAGAAAAATATAAACCAACTAATCAAGCACAGGAGGGAGTCAGCTAATATAGCCATCTTGTGACGCAGGAATTACTTAATTTGGTTTTGATAACATGTCACTCCAACACATGCACCACCATGCACAGCTCTTTTCTGAAGCATGGGGTCAAAGTCAGTATGTGGATCACTCGTCCTTCAAGTCCAAAGCAGAAGGAAGCAAGCAAGAAAAAGTTTCTTGGGAAAAGCACAATTCCGTGTTTTATGCCCATTGCTTGAAGGAGCAGCTAGGAAAACAGTACGCTTGAGCACAACCTTTTGCTACGTACCCTCTTTTGTGAACTCCTCTAGAGGGCTCCTCTGTCCCTCTATTCTCCCTGGTGCTAATTGCTCTCTGTTCAGACTTGCTCTGACAACCTTTCTCCAACAAGACTGATTAGTACTTTGTCTGAAGCAATATATAAAATGAACTAAGACTCATCAACAAAGTTACAATGTCATGTAGTAAATTGCTATGCTAATCTGGTGGCAACGTTAATTACTCTTTGTATAATTAAGTGCATTTTAATAAAGGAGATACTGATTTTGAAACTCTCGTGGCTTGTGAATCATTATAAAATAAACTAGTGCTTTTCCAGGACAGAGAATAATAATTTTGCCCCTTTGTTAAATCCAAAAGCATATTTTCATTTTTAGGGATATTAATTATAAAGTTTCATGATAGTTTTAGTCAGGCTTATATCTTGAATTCTAACTCAGTCCTGTCAAAAAATCATTCTCCAAAAGATTACTCTTTAGAAATTACCTGCTTAAAAAGTCTTAATTTTAACCTCAATGTAAAGAGATTTAATCTATACAAACTACAATGGTCACTCATTTTTCTTAAAATTTCCATTAAAACCACAAATCTGGACTAGCAATTTCTCAGTCAGTGGGTTCTACAAAGGAATTAAACTCAAGCCTTGCATATGACAGCCCAAGAGTTTGAAATACTAACTCAGGGGTTCAGAGATGTAGTTAAGTGAGAAATGTTTCACACAAGCAGTATGAAAGGCAAAGAGAATACTCCAATTTTGTACCTTGATGTAGACTACAATAATCAGAAGCAAGCACTGAGTTATATGATTATGAGAAAGACACTGGTAATAACCAAATTTTGCTACACATACCTTCCAGAATGGGTCCTCATTTGCTAGCATATGAAAGAAGGGCAGAGAAGAGATTAGTGGGAAATACATTGCTGGTGTGAATGCTAGTTCTCAGCTATGGCAGTAACTTTAGTCGAGCTGTGACACATTGCCAAAATTAACATGGGCAGGAAAGAACGCAACAGCAAGCAGCAGAATTAGCATTTGAGATTTTAAAATTCACATTGCAGGAATCCCATGTCCAAAGGTCTGATGCTAAAATGTCATAGTACGGGAAGTATATTCTATTTCAAATTTTCAGAAATTTTCATGCAAAGCTCTTCTCCACATGCCAGTAGTCAAAAAGTCTTTCTTAAGGACTTCAGCCTACTGGGTGATGAACAGTCTGGCCCCGAACCAGCAAGGCACTTAAGCAGGTGCTTAACTTGGGGTATGAAATTGGTGCCACTGACTTACCATTAAATGGATGTTTAAATGTTCAGCGGATTCATGGCCAAAATGGTCAGCTACTTGTGAGATTGAGCTTTATGTTACCATCAACTCTTTATCATCAAACTACTCCCACCCAAAACGCCAAGATTTTCTGACCTTTTGATGAACTGAGTCTGTAGTGATTGCATTCACAGACTGCTAAGATCAAGAACCATCAGAGCTCACTGGAAAGCAGGCCAAGCCTTTCATAAAAATATTTGTGAAATTCATCACACATCAGTCCAAAAATAAAAAGCGAGAAAATTTTAACAGCTTTATGGAAACTGCACAGTGGGTTGTAATTTTTGCTGCTGATTTGTAAAAGGCTGGTGCACACTATCCCAGTGACAAACAGCTGATGGAGAGGCCTTTCTTTGGATTAAAGTGGAGACAACCAAACTGGCATTTCTGTCCTTCCATCCTTCTTCAGCGCCCTCTCTGATCACAACAGGAATATAGCTGCCCCAGTGTGATCCCTCATATACAGACCAACCTGGGTGTTGCTTCCTGCTGTTACACATTCATTTTATGCTCTGATGTATGCACACACGTGAAGATGCAGACCCATTCAGACCTCACACACAAGGAGAAAGAAGAACATAAGAATGAAAGAACAGCTTCACCTAAATTAGATTGAAGGCTATAAAGCCCTGAGTCCTTTGCTGACAGCATCCAGTGCTGCCACCTGTGCACACAGTGCAAGACCAGGGCAAGCACAGAGTAAATTTTTCTACTGCAGAAGTATCCTTCCAGACACTTGCAGTTTATGGGCTTCCCTAACCTGGAGTTTGCATCTTTATTTTTGTATTTAACTGCCTTAGATAGATTTTTGTTCTTCCATAAATTTGTCTGCTTTTCCCAATTGTAGCATCCTTTGGCAATGAGTTCCGTATATAATCACAGATTTATAAAATCTGTAGATGTCACTTCATATACACAAAAACACACACAGAGATCCACCGCAATATGACACCATGATTACTCAGGGGATATAAATGTTATTCAGATAAACAGAGGCTTGATAATTGAAGAGCCCTTCCTACAAATGATATATGTCAGGGGATGTGACCTCATTTCAGGTAAGACATTTTCAGATAAATGAATTCTGAATAATTGACATTTTGCTCAAAATTTACAGGAACTGTTCTCTTCTGCATTTCTGGAAATGACAGTTGTTTCCTGTACTTCATAGCGATTTTTTCAGTTTATTTCTCTTTTCAGCTCACTTTTACTATAAAGTTGTAAACGTTTAAAAATATGTCCTCCTCTGCCTTCTAGTTGCTGAAAAATTAGACTGAATACAATTTTTTTAAAGGAGCATTTTATAAGAGAAGGGGCAGTCAGCTCTGCACCGAAGGTGGACACAACTACACCAGTGCAGTGCCGAGCTGCCGGGGACAGCTCTGTCTTCAGTTTAGAGCTTGCACAGCATCCAGCACAATGGTGCCTGGGGCACGGGGGCTAACACACCCCTACAGAGGTGGGGAGTTCTGCCATAGAGAATCCAGCTTAAAACTGTCAGAATATGTAGAGACCCAGCACAGACTGGGGATGCTGGAAAAAACAAAGATACAGGACTGGAAGAGGAATGAACAATTAAGGAGAGGGATTGCTTATTTCCAAGTGGCTCTGAGACAGCTCTGTCACTTGCCTACTTCCTTGCAAATAAAATGGGTAACACATGGCAGAAAGAAGGTCAGAGATATCAAACTCTAACTTGAATGAAATCCACTGAGGGGCTAACAGCATGGCTTGCTAACATTGCCATTCTCTCCTGGTTTTTCCCATGTGTTTACATGGGAAAAACAAGTGCTGTGATAAGACAAATAATAAATTATAATTTTAATTTTGAAGATAAAACTAAGCCAGGAATAATGTTCTTTCCACTGGGGCTTACATGAGCATGGGTTCCTGCTAAGAGGGATGTCATCATAGCTGTTTACCGTGTAATAACCTCTTCTGTCCTCTGAGACCCTATGCATTAGAGGCATATGGTAAGTAGGCCAATTGTCTGCATCTAGCACACGAAGCTTTGAAGGCAGAGAGAAGCACCGCTGCATTTCGGTTGGTGATCCTGAGACACAGGAATTCAAGGCAGGGCCAGAAAGCTGAATCTCAAGCACTAAACATGACACTTCACATGGATATCAAGCAAACACTGAAAAACTGTCAAAAGTTCCTGTCTTAATTGAAATTACGCCTGTAAATGCTCCTCATACTGAAATAATATTTGGCTTAGAAAAAGGCCTATCTTCCCTTACCTTTAATGCACCACAGTGAAGCCTAAGTTATAAAGGCAACATGAGGGCAAGGACACAATTACATTTCTTTACCGGCTTTTTCTCTTCTTCTGAAATGTAACTCAAGCTTCTCACTTTCTCTCTTAAAATCCTACATGGGCCTCATCTGAAGAATTAAACTGTACTCAGTGATCTCTGTGTTTTGTCTCCCACCTCCCAAATCTTTGCCTTCCCTGTATGTCGCACGTATTTCCTGGAATGGGCTTCTTCACATGAGCTAATCATCATCATCATCCCCAAATGGCTCCTCTGAGTTGTTCATTCTCAAGGTTTTTACCATGAAATTTTCAGCATCCGAAGTTCTTATAAATACAAGATTGGAAGGCATCTTCAAGGCCATCAAATCTAGATTTATGGCTCCGGCTCTTGGGAGTCAGAAAAATTCTGTGGTTTTCAGCCATTATTCTTAAAGCAAAAGGTATGGTCAATTTCTAGCCCTTGAGGGTGGACAGCAGTTTCTTAAAGCTGAGGCAAATGAAAAGCCCAGAATAGTAATTATTTTTTAAATCCCAATTCTTCAATATATATTTTTAAACACTTGGAGTTGGAAGCAGTGCCCTCTTCAATCAGTCCTCTCACTGCATGGTGCTTACAATGCTAGAGATCGGATTTTCCACTGATTGCAGAGAGTTTGGGTCCATTTCTACACAGTTTTGACCTTTAGCCTTATTGTTCAATTGTTTTTGCAGGAAAACCATCTATTTTCACTGCACACTAAAAAGTGCAGGGACCTTACACAAAGTAATGCCCTACAGTACCATAGCAATAATTCATACGAAATCCTACTAATAAATATTTAGCATGTCATTACAATAGTAGTATATTAATTTAAAAATAGGCTTACCTCTTGTTGAAAGGAACAAGGGGTTATTCAAATAATTTGATGCAAGGCGTTTCCGCTACAAGGGAAAAGAAACCAACCACAATGTCACTGAACAGTGCTCTGGCTGTCTCTTAACATTTCATTTTAACAATCTCCATGAGCTTCCCTCATACAAGATCAGCTACATAGAAGCCAGTTCTGTGACTTAGAATATTCATTGCTAATCCCTGAGACAGTCATACAAACAGTTGTATTGTTTATTTTTCTAACAAGTTTTTCGTAGTTAGATGTGCATTAAATTTTCTTAACAAGAGAAAAATGCAAATTGAAAATGTTATTGATTGGATTGCAGAATAAGTTGCAGAGGTCAGTAGAAGCAAGGCAACAGCAACAGTAACTCCAAGCGGAACAGATAAACAATGTCCATAAGGGGAAAACTGTGTAATAAATTGTTGTTGTGAGATGACATCTTTATTTGTGTATATAGAAATGGTGATGGACTTCCCACCTGCAGAAAAACATCACTACCCCCTCTGTCACTTGCCTACAGTTCACAGAAACGTATTTTGTTTGCAAGCAATGTATTAGGGCCTAAGCAAAATATTTCTCTTTCAGAAGTTAATGTGTAAAATCTCTAGGAGCTGGCAGTGATTTCAGCCTGCTGAGGTCACCAAAGATTTTTAACACAGACCACTGGAAACCTGACTGAGATGTTTAATTCAATGCAACCCATCGCCAACTTATCAGATGTTAAAAGCTGTTGGTCAATACCAAGGCAGGCTTCATTAACAGTCTATATAACTCCTAATTGTTTCTCTGAGCCATCCAATACTTGTACAGCAGGACAGAAACAGTACCATTTTCCTCCATTAGATGTTGTTAGACTCTGCTTGGAGGAAAATTAGAGAGTTTTTGTAATAAATGATTTATTCTATGGTGAGTAAACTGTCCTCTTATACAGGGGTGCCTGCCAGTCTGTTAATGAATTTTGAATGGAAGCTTCTTCCTTCAAAAAATACCCAGACTGAAACTTAACCCTTTCCTACACAAAAAAAAAAAAAAAAAAAAAAAAAAAGAAAAGAAAAGAAAAACAAAATACAAAAAAAGCTACAGAGGGTGGGAAAACAGAATGGTATCTCAATTAAAAAAAAAAAAAAAAAAAAAAGCTTTGAAAAGAGAAAGCACAACATTCAAGTGAAGACTGTGATCACATTTTTGTAATCAAGGAAGTCAGCATCACCACTACAGATGCTGAGCTCCTGCCGTTTTGAGGGGCGTTGGCAAATAAAAAGTCTAATTTATATGCAATTTCAATTTAAACAATCATGAATTAAAGATTATTCAGTAGACTAACCGTAAATTAAACAGCACCGAAATGCCTGAAATGCCACAAAATACCTCAACTCACTGATTAGCAAATCAATCTGAGCAGCTAATTGATCAGAGAAAAACCATCTGCCTCCATTTTACTTGAACAGCATTCCCCATGGTCAGTACTTAATGACAACTCCTAATGAGGACACAGCTGATCAGCCACAGGACTCTTTCACAGACATTTCTTTCTCCATTCCATCTTTCACTTCAGGATATGCTTTTGAGAATAGACATAATGAGAAGTATGAACTAGGGGTGCATCAGATCTCCTCCATCACCTCCTCTGTCCCTGCTCCAAGATAATTGAGTTTCTCACAAACATCAACCAGGCTACAGCCACCAAACTCTGATACAAGTATTGTAACAAACTCAGAAGAAGGAGGTCTAAGAGAAGACACTACAGATTTAATGCTAGCAAGGCTAAGGTTCCTACTGTGTTAAATACTGAATGTATAGACATCAGTATTTGTTCTGAAGAAGTCACTAGAGAAAAGTTGAGGAGTTCTGAAGAGTTCAAGTGCTCAGAGCTGCCCTGAGAGTATAGAAATCTCCAATGCTTTCAAAAAAGAACCATCAAGCCACTAAGCAGCTTGACTACAGTGGTGGGTTTTTCTTAGCCTCATCTGTCTGATGTCTGCCAACAAACAGAAATCTGAAATGGTGGCATACCAAAAGTTCTGCATCAATTGTACCTAAATAAAGGAAAATTACTTTCTTTAGGCTTAGAGAACTCAGAGAATCTTGCTTAAATGGAGAGCTAGCTGCAAATTAGTTTCATTCCCGTAGGAAGTTCAAACAGTAACCCCAAACTGTGGTGAAATTTTAAAGGTGGAATTTTAATAAGCTGAATAATGCATAGATTCAGTTCAGAAACAAAGAAAAAAACTATTTCAGAAAAAGTTAAAGTCTATTTATATCCTGCTTTTACACCAGGTTTGCAAGCCAGTATTATGTAGAACCAAATTTTGCCAGTACTATAAATGTAACAGCGTAAGTGTAACACACAACAGAGATTATCCAGAGCATTTTATTTTTTAATTATGCATTATTATATTATGCAGGCTTCCATACCCCCTGTGGAGCACATTGATTCTTAAACCAACACATCCCTTTTATGAATGTCACTAATAAAAAAGCAAATTTCTCCATTTATTATTTGGCACATAGGGAAAGAGAAATAGCAATGCAAGTTTGAACATAATGCAGCACTTCTGTTCTTCAGTTCTGACCTAAAGGGACTGTCTGCGTGGGTGAAAGAGTAATTAGGTCCCACATTAATTTAGTCCTTTTGGCCTATTGAAACTAAGATGAATTCTAGTTTGAAACAAGTGATGTTGTGGGGTGAAAACCTGTTGCTTAGCTACTGAGATGAGATCTTTTCTATCTTTCCACATTAATGTCTCTTTACAAGTAAATGTGTGGTTCTGCATTTATATATACTTTTGTAATAAGAAGCATTTAAACCTTTTATTGACATGAAATAGAACAGTGGTAAAAAAGTGAATGATGAAGTACCTCTGTTTCCAAGAGCCCACTATAGGCTGGGTTTGCTGTGCTTCTTCTCTTTCTTTCCTGACGCTTGCTCTGGATTTCTGTAACCATGGAAAGAAACATGAATTGTGCGTTTCTCATTCATCAGGGAAAAATGTAGATCTAACTTGTTAAGCAAGATGCTCTTACCCTCACCCCTTGGGCTTTGTGTTCAGTTTCAGTTTCTAAAGTATAATTGGGTTGCATCAGCATTTATATTTCTTGCAGTTCAAGGTTTGTCATTAATAAGCCTTTCTAAGATTCAGAATACAAGCATTTTTTATTTTTTCCTTCCTCTAAGTTGGACTTCTGCTGCCCTACAGATTTTTATTATGATCCCTTCAAACATATATCCAGCAAGCATCAACAGAGAGCTTTCAAAATACTATCAATGTCTGTTATTAACAAAAATGAAGCATTTGAAGCAGTTAAGCCTTGTAATTCATATCAGATGAAAGCACAGAAATCCTTTAAATTTTAATTTACATTATTTTTCCTCTGCAGAGGTTAGAAAAAGCACTGTCAGAATGGCATGGCTAGATTCAGTTCTAACTAGGTCGTGATGATTTATCCATCAAAAAATATACAACTTCATGATCCTGAGCATGCAAAATGTTGTTATGAGCTGTACATGTATTTGTGTCACTGGAAAAAGCAGCGCAAAGATAAGCTCATCAAATTGCAGTCCTATTTGGAAAATGGTGAAACACAAGAAAACTCCCTTCTGCTAAATGGTAACACCTATTCAAGACAGTACTTGATGAGGACTGCATTTAGCAACAATTAGCCATGTGCATATTTCAGTAAACACACAGAAAGAGTGAGTGGATTCACTGACCACTGAAATCTGCAGATATAATGGTACTTTTATCTGAGCTAGGATTTTATTTCCCTCATATGGAATTTCTTTTTCCAGCTCTTGACATCAGTTCAGAATGGTGAAATTATTACAACCATGTATTTTACAGCCTACTTTTTATTTTGATAATAAAGCACAAGCTGACATATTTTAGCAAGGAGAGCCACCCAGCATCCATCCCATGACATGAAGTGTGCACAGTTGGGCTCATGATCTATTCCAAAGTGTTTCCTACATGAATAATGTAAGGCAAAGTTTAGACTGCACTGAGGTTATCCTAAATGTTATCCTAACTGACCCTGCAATGGTGATACCTCCATTCTGTCTTGCTCTGAGTAAATCTCTCAGAATGAGAGGAACTGGCCAGAAGCACTAGTTCTTCAGCCCAGAGGACCAGGAACACGCCCAACAGAAACTCAGGACACCATCTGGTTCTGCAGAAGGTCTGGCATTTCATCAGTGTCTGAGCTAAAGACCTCTATCTCAGAACATCCTCAGCCCCAGAAAAAGGCCTTCAGGATATTGAGCACTATCCCCCATCTGCAATCCAACAGTAAGATACAGTCCAGCTTTCAGGAAGTTTACGATACATGGGAATTGGATTCCCAACACATAGTTCTGGTTTCCAGCCACCCTTTCCAAATGCTGATCACTTCCCCACAAAGAGGCCATGTACCACGTTAAGCATTGCTACAGTAAATGGTATTAGCATTGTCAGTCATGTCTTGGACACAGTGTCCCCAGGGAAGAGGCCAACACTTTGCATGGATTTTGTACTGGCCTGAGTTCCAAGATACTGATTTGAAACTTTTCACTCACAAAAGACTCTTGGAGTCATCACTCTTGGAGTGATGGATGTGTCAGAAGGAAACTGGATAGACAAGAAAAACAGAAGAGCAACTACTTGCATATTCTGGCTGGGTATTCCCACTGGCAGAGGAACATGTCACCATGTCACCTCTCACACTCAGAAGGTGTCTCCTGCGCGGGCAATTCAAAGAGTATGGCAGGCCTGCATGCACAGTCTGACATGAGCTACACGTGTGTTGCCATGTGACTCAGGGAGCTACACAGAATCGCACCACCAAGAAACACGTGATCTGAGGCTGCACTGAGATGTGCGATACACGTCATGGCTGCAACCACTGCCAGCATTTTGTTAACATTCTAGGTGCCGTGCAGACCCCAAACCGGAGGATCTTGTATGGGTAACGGTTCTGTCCCATTGTGAAAGAATTTCCTATAAAACAATTGTCTGGCTATGCTGAAATCTTCATCCTGACGTGTCCAGATGCTTTGGCATTCTCTAAAGGGAATCAGGCTTCAGCAGCTAGACACGGATCCAGTAGCCTGCCACAGAGCCACCAGAAGAGAGATGGTTGTTCTTGATGTCAGTCAGTTCTTGTATGGGGAATGCCCTCAAGGCCAAAAGGTGACAGAGATGTCACAACAGAGGAATCACGTGCCTTGATGCTGTCAAAGAAATGGAGGAAGTGGCCCTCTGCTGACTCTTTACTTTGGTCTCGACAGTGTGAGCTGGAGCCATGGTTCTTGCAGCCAGGCTCAGCAACGCAGGCGCCATGGTCAGTGGATCTAGGGCTTGGAGGGAAAAAGCTGGAGTTAGGGCAGCCCAGGCTTCGCCTTTCAGAAGTGGTCACAGGGATACAAGATCGTGACTTTTCACTGGCCCAGGAAAAGAAACAAAAAATTCAACACAGCAGAGCTTTCTGTGACCATAACTGGGCTGAGTGTCTTCACAAGAGGACTGTGATGAATCTGTAGCTCTCTGCCCTTTTGGGTCCCAGGTTTAAGAGAGAATTTCTTCAGTACATGCTCTCACCAAGGCAACAGAAATATTTGATGGAGTCTGAATCACACATGTTGTAGATACCTTGAAAGCCTCTTTGGAAGAGGCATCGCTATGGTACAGAGATAAAAGCTGGCTGGGAGTAAAAGTAATAGTAGTGAGAATAGATGGAAATAGAGACAGAGGAAGAGAGAGAGAGAGAGAAAGAGAGTAATGAACTGAAACAGCTCTAGATGTACTCCACCCTATGCAGCCACCAGGGAGGGAGAGCACAATCTCAGCACTTTATTTATGGAAACTGTGCACAAAAAATATCCATGCTTGTGATATAAGGAGTATGTTGTCTCTGTCAATAATCATACCACGATAGAACAAAAGTGTATGGTGGTATACTATCTTTTGTTATTTGTTACTTCTGCTAAAAAGTATTGTGTATATTTCAAAACAGGGCTTAGTAAAGTAAAAATAAATCTGGTTTAACTGATTACAACCTTCCAGCAACCTCGATGGAAATATTTCTGGGGTTTTATTTTGCTATGGTAAATCAAGATGTGCATTTTTAGAAAGATCTGAACTAAAGAGTTACTTTAAAGTTTTGCTTTCTATCTACTTGTTTGTTTGTTTTAACACAATGGTAATGCTAAAAGGTGTTCTAATAGCCTAGAAAAAGAGATTTAGTAAGTTACAACAATGCACTGCATCACGGAATTGGGCTATCATATGCCTTAGTTTATTAATCTAAAAAATGTAACACAAACAGGAAAAAAACCCCTCTAAACTGTAATACATTTGACAGAGATGAATAAATTTGAAGATAGCTTTATGTTGGAGGCAAAGCTTCAATGAGCTGCTGCCTTCATCAATAAACACCCTGCCTAGTCATTCTACGAGGCCCGTAATGACAATTCATCTTCAGGGAAAGCTGTATCTTGCAGAATGTCAGTCAGTGAAAGCAGATGTGTTCATTTGCTGGTAAAGGCCTCAAAAGATGCCTCACACTCAGGCTCTGCAGAACGGAGCTTTTTTCCCAGTAAGGGGAAAGATGCTTCTCTGGATGTTAGGTGGAAAGGCTGTTAGGCTGATAGAGAAATCCATATAGAAGTGGATCATAGCCCTTCACCACAAAATTAATGAATAAAATGAAGAAAAGCAGTAACACTGTGAATTAATGATAGTGAGTGAATAAGCTTTTAATGACCCAATTTTGATATAGTTTAATTCCAAAAATGTGAAATTGAGAAATACATTAGAAGTACTAAAATAAACTGAACTGTGTAATGACCACTGCTTCCTGATAAATAGCAATGGCAGATAACCATGAATATGACATAGCACTAAAATAATAACCTTTAGCATGTGAAAGCTATAAGGGTATTTTTGACAGTTGTAATCACCAATACTCATGAAGAAATACCCTTTCCACAGTAAATAGATCTTGGTAGGAGCCATTTATTTGAAGCTAGTAGGAATATAAAAAGTGAATTTGTCTGAAAAGAATTGATTCTGCAGGATTAGTATTGTAGCAGTTAGGTTCAAAATGTGCGGCTCCACACTCACTGTACAACAAACAGAAGAGAGCGGTACTTGGTGTTTTGAACAGACATTAAATCCACAGAAACAATTTATTAGTTCCAATAAAATCAAAGGGTAAAGAAATATTCAAAATAAAGTTCTCTCCGTTTTAAGCATAATTTGCACTTCAGCATAATTTCAAATGTTGTCCAATTTTCCTTAGACAAAGAAAACAAGAACCAGTGATCATTTGCACTTTTTGGATTATAAATCTCCCAAAATCGCTGTAGCTTTTTTAATTTTCATTTCAATCCATTACCATTAAGGGATTAAAAAGGCTGATGGCTTAAAGTTTCTTTAAACTGCTTTCAAATTCTCAGTCACTAGGACATTAAATGATTTTCTAAAATGCAGATTTAAAGAGGAAAGACACTGAAAAAAAGGCACCAAGACCCACAGAAAACTTTCTGCATATACTGAGGAGACCTTACAATTAAGATGCTATTTTGTCCCTAATTCACAACCTCTCTTAAAACCAAGGAACAGAAGCATGTGGAAACTTACTAAAAAGAAATCAAACTGTAAAATGGTAGATACTTCTGGAGTCAGCAAGGTATCTAAGCATGTGCCTAACTCTAAAGCACATAAAACTCAAACTCAGTGCACTGGAAATTCCTAAGTATTTTGCTGACAATGGTCCATGGGATGGGTGGTAAATGTCAATTATTAATATTTTTTGTGATCAAGAATCATTGTCAGCTGACACAGATACCAGATTTTTCTCTTTATACTGGTGGAACCACACAAACTTGTATTAGCTGAGCATGTAACTAAAACACATCAAGCTGTAGGCTTTTTCTTGAAAATTGCTGTACCTTCTCTGTCCATGAGAACTAACCTATTCTGCCAAGAACCCCCCAGCTCATCTTACATTGCTGGTAAATTTGTTGAACAAATTATTTTTTCCCCTCTCATCTATGTTTTCAGAAAGACAAAGCTGAGGAGAGGGCACGCTTGCTGCAGAAGGTCTGGGTAAACATCTTTAAACCTTGCTAATTCTTCAACCAAAGCAGTGCTGGTCAGAGCCTTTCCAGGCTTTTTGCTTCACTGCTGTCCTCCAGTTGTTAACGCACTTTAAAGGACCATGATGACTGAGTGAGCCCAAACCCCAGCTCATGCCAAGCCTCTGGTGCTGGCTGCAGAGCCAGTTCTCATGCCCCTTAAGTTGTGCAATGGGATGGGTGGCAGAGCAAAGGAAGGTCATGCATTATTTTGAGGCTGAAAAGCACAATTGTGCATAGATAACATTTCATCTGATTTTTCATTGCTCTTCAGAGGAGAGAATCACCAACTCCTCTTAGCTGCAGAGCAGTCAAGAGAAAAGATTTCACTCGAAAACTGAACTGTAAAACAACATATGCCATCTTACCTTCCAAATGTTCTGTTGTAACCAGTCCTAATGCTACCATGAAGGCAATTTTCTAAGGAAAAGATAAACAGGGGTTAGATTTTCTACTACAACAATCATGGTAGAAGTAAGTAAATAAATCAGTCTAGCATTAAGAGAACAAATCCAGTAGGGGTCTTTTAGAAATGTATATTATTGGAATGCAGAGTACTATGAAGAACTTGAAGATCTGCCTCAGATATGCCTGGACACTCACGTCCTAGTTGTATGACTGTATGAACTTTAGCAGTTCAAAGATTTACAAAGCCAATGCTGCACGACTACTGATTTTATACAGCGCATGATCAAAAGTCAGTTAATTCAATCAATTCAATTTCATATTGCTAGCTGCTTTATTACTCCACTCTTTACAGAAGCAATTGTGTATTATTTTTACTATCTGGACATGGCACTGCTTTTACTGGATGTGAGCAAGCTGTATGAAGTAAAACAAGATATGATACACTTCCACTGAACTTTACAACACCAAACAGGACATCTGAAGAATATCAAAAGTCCTATCCCCCCAAAAAAACTTTCATAAATTTCTCTTCCCAAGTTACAGAAATAGTATCATGTGCATGAATTATGAAGAGGTACACTGATCCAGTATTTTCCCTCAGTGGGGACTGAACAAACATCTCCTGACACTGGTGAACTCATTTTGCAGTGAGGAATCTGATCTAAAATGTTATTCAGAACTCTTGTACACTATATATGCACAAAACACATCTTTGCTCTAACAAATCTTCAAAACATGCCAAAACAGTAATAGGGCAAGTACTAGAATAGATCCTAAATTTTCTGTCAGTGATTTTTCATTGGGAAATTTTTCCTTATGGAAAAAGTTTTGCTGAAGCTTTTATTTCATCTCTTTGATGGAAAACTGAAATTCTGCTGTGTTGTTCCAAGCCCAAACTGAACTGAACTCCTTGGTTTTGAGTCACATCTGTGGTACTGTGGGGCCTCAGGGATCTTGTCCTCTTTCTGAGGTGCTGAACACTCTTGCTGGATCATGTTACCCAAGTGGGATTTTCACGAAATGCGATTGCACAGGAGAGACAATCTGACTATGAAATCCAAGTTATCAGGAAATCCAAGCAAGCAAAGCCCACAATCCAACTCTAATAAAGCATCCAAAGACCATAGGAAGATGCAGTTATCATACTCACCCAAAATAAAATGTGTAGATTTAGGTCAAACTAAAATACAGTGTTTAAGCAGTAGAAGGTCAAAACATTCTGTTTCAATCAAAGAAGCGTCAGGAGAACACATTTCAACGCTTCCAAGTCAAAATTAGTTTGACCTTCTTGTTTTGTGAAAAGCCTGATGATTCAACTTTTCATTTCAGTTCAGGATAAAATCAACTAATAAGTCACCAGAACTACCACTTCCTTTGCAATTCTGACTTTCACACAGAGGAATTGTGAAAGCAAGCACATCCTCATTTTGTAGATTAAAAGATCTAGATATGGGGTGGGTTCTTCAAAATCTGAGGGTCAGGATTGGACACTTATACCCCTCTTGTATCTGTGAAAATATCTTTGTCAAACAGGTGAACTAACAACCTCATAAGACAGGAATATTTTCTTCCCACAATCTCCTAGTATGTAACTCTCCCTGTAGATTAAAAAATGGTGATGTAGAATCTCATCACTGGCAGTTGAGATATATTCATGCTGTATTTCTGCCTTGCACAAGTGTGGTAATAACAAACACGTGTGTTCATTTGCATGTCAGACCTTGATTTCAATAATGTTCACTCCCTACATGTCTAAAACACCAGCTAGACACAGTGGGGGGCTCCACATCTGAAGGGAAAGATGAATATTTGATTCGAGAACCACTGTGCAGATCTGAGAAGAAAAATAGTCAACGGAGTAGAATTGCAAGCTTCACCACACTCCCACCAAAAAGTAACTTTGTGGCAGGATATATCTCAGTGCTCTGAGCAAATAACAGGTATAGAATCAGAAAGTTGGAATGGTTAACACGCAATTGTATTTTCCCAATGGAGCACAGAACGCCTGTAGTACCCAAAGATTAAACTGTAGGAGGAGCATACATTTTCTGACATCTAAACTAAAACTATTTGAGTACTGGAATGCTTGCTAAACAATTTCCTCTCTTCATGCTAAAATTATTTGAATACGTCTCTAATTAAATGTAATGACAGCATACTTGCTTAACATATGAAGAGCCTTCATAAATGGACTTGATAATTATCTCACTATTAAACACAGGAAGGGTTAGCTTTTATAGATATTTGAAAGATGGTTCCTTTTAAAAAAATCCCAGTAGAAACTGCATTCTTTTTAACAAGCATATTATATTAACAGCATACTTGTTTTTATGGGTTTTGCTATTTCACACTCATGTAGATTGCTGAATGCAACTCAAAATACCGCTTCCACTGCAATGCTTTTCTTTCAAATATCACACAGTCTATTGTTTCTTCTCTGTGCAGGAATCCACAAAACTGAGGCTTCCATTTCTCCAGATCTTCAATCCAGGCTTAACACTAGCATTTAGTTCAGAATCGCAAGGTGCCACTCTTGTCCTTCTTAGATGGGATTAAATACACTGTTAGCTAAATACCCAGCATTCTTGGCAGCGATTTTTCTTTTAAATAAAAAACTGGTAGAATGTCATGGAAAATGTTGCCAGAAATACATAACTTTACTAATACGAAGTTTTTTAAAAGTAGAAAGTTTTGGGCAGAATCCCATTTCTTTCTGTGCTGAACTCAGGTCCTTTGAAGAAAAAAAAACAAAAAAACAAAAAAAAACAAAACCAACCCCAAACCCTCAGGCACTTGCTCCCCAGAGGAGCAGCTCCCTCGTGTAATTCCTGCATTTCTATGCAGAAATCATTCTGGTGGGTGAAGACCCACCACCAGACAGGCAGTTCCTGGCCTCCACCCCCAGCAGAGCCCTGCTGATGGCAGCGGCCCCCTCCCCCAGACCCTCCGCACCCCCCAGGGGTACTGAACCCTCATGGCTCGTGTCCCAGGAGAGGGCTCTGGGACACCCTGGGCGGCCGGGACCCCCCATCCTGCTTCTGGGAAAGCCACTCCACGGCCAGGCTGCAACGCAGCAGATGCGACAAGGTTTGCTTTAGTCTAATGATGATGTTCTCAGGAAAGGAGAAATCTTCGGCTTATGCAAAAGGCATTCGTATTGCAGGGGGGGGGTTGTCCAGGATCAGCTTCACGGCTTCCCAGCAGAATGACAGAGCCAGGAAAAAAAGACAATAATTATCCTGTCTTTTCTGTTCATTCAGGTATGCTCAGCAACTGCATATGGGATTATTTGTTTTAAATTTTCAAATTAATTTGTTAAATCCCAGTCTGTCATGACTAACACTCCTGTAGAGCCATACTGGAGTTCCTGCCCCAGTTTTGTGCTTTGAAGATAAATAAGAGTGTGGAGACCAGCTCCTAGAGTGCTTATTTTCTTTTTAAAAATATCATGGTATCTTTGTTACTCTTTGCCTTAAATTTAATCATCTGTTTAAAAGCCATGAGTGCTTTTAGGAATGCGCTGTATGTCTTTTCATGAAGCAAAACAAGATTTTTACAAAACCATTTCAGTTTGTAATTACATGTTCTATTTATGTCATTACATGTATTTATACTAATTATGCTGTTAGTTCTAATTACACTAATTGCATAAATACATGATAATCAACTAAAGTTTACTTTCAAAGAACAAAAGAAATTAACTCTAGACCAACATATTTATGGCCATGAAGCAAATCTATGAAAAGAAGAGCCATCATACTTAAGGGCATAGATTTCAGCGTCCTACCCAGGAAACTGCTTGCTGAGTCCTCCAGTAGGAGCAATGTGCCTGGTTACAAGAAAGGTAGTCAGCATATTCTAGTTAGCAATTTAATGAAAAGGTCATTAAATTTATGAATGCTATACTAAAAAAGCGTGCCTTGTCCCATGGTATCTTCCCGCATGTCTCTGGAAGAAATTTGATCAATATTGTTTCTGTGGGGCTAAGTTACAGGCAAAGAAAAATGGATGTTTTTTCTAGCGTTCTGCTTTTAAGCAGGATCTACTAGCCTTTCTGCCCATAAGGTGCTACTCAATAAATAATATTTTGGAAATACCTCCCTAAACAAAACAGGACCCTATAGTCCCATTATTCAGCTGCAATGAAGATTCATATGAGGGTCAGATTTTAAACTTGGGCAGCTTCCTAAGTGTAGTTCTGCAGAGCTTCTGCATAAAGCTGTGACATTCTACACTAAAAGCCACTATTTATCCTTAACACTGCTTTAACTATACGAACCTCTTAAAATGGTAAAACAAATGACCACCCACATGCCTCAAGTAACATTATAAATTTATATTGTTATAATCCTCTTAAACCTACAGCTCCAAGGATGCTTTTGTGCTATACTATTAGACTAGTAAGGTTAAGATTTCACACGAGATGAGCATTTCCATAATAGAGGTAGATTCAGTTTGTATAACTTCTCAAATTGCCTCAAAAGTACACACAATCTAATGTGAATATATCTAGTCAAAAACCAAAATGCTTGTTAGAGACCCTATTTCTACAAGGACTTCTGATTTATATTCTTAGTTTACATCACAAATATAGTTCATGAAAGAGATTTAATCTTATAACCTGCTTTCTACTCTCTTACTCAATTTGAAGAATTTTAATGTATTTCAGACTAGAAAAAATTTGTGTACACGTGGGAAGAAATGTACACAGCAAAGGCAAGAAACTATTGTTAAATACAATCTAAAAATTGAATGATTCATTACAAAGAAGATGTAGAAGCTCAGCTTACAAAAGAAATGTTAAATCAATCTCATACGCAGCCTGTAAACCCAATGTTATATATTTGATAACATAAAAGAAAATATCTTTAGGCTTGTAAACATCTCTCACAAGAAATACAGCTATACCCACACAGGGCACCTAGACTGTTCTGAGACACAGTTCTTACATTTTGTGACATTGGAAGGTTTGAATGATGCAAACCAAATTTATCAGAGCACCTCACTGGCAGGGATATCACCCCGACTGCAGTGATTGAGAGAGAATCAACTGGCAGAACCATAAGCACAAATGCAGTAATTACGTATGCACACAGAAAATGTTTAGAATTGGCCCCCCGTAACATAACCATACTGTAGCTCACTTATTAAAAAAAGAAAAAAAGATCACCTCTGGATTTTCCTCCTTTTTCTTTTTGGTAGCAGGGGGTCCCTGAGCTGACTCTTCAGGAGGTTTCTTTGTCTCCACTTTACTTTCTGTCTGGGTTTGGACTTGAGGCTGAATAATGATAACCTAAAAGCCAATGTACAAATACAAGAAGATAATTCACTACATGAAATTTGATTTTTCTGCCTGGAAGCTTTGATTCTTCTTTGAAAGGTTACTTGATACTCTTACAGACAGCAAATGCAAATCACAAGCCAAAAATATAAAATATATATATATATATATACACACCTGGGTTAAGCTCCTAAATCCATACTTAAGTTTCTAAAAATTACTTTTTATTGGTGTATTATAAACCTACTGCAGCCTAAGGAAGCAATTTCATCAGTGCCTCTGAAAATTAGGACACTTTCTATTTAGAGGACTTCTGAAGCTGACTCAGCAGCCGAGCTTTAGCACTCACGTTGTCAGTGATTTTAAGGTCTTTGATTTTATTTTGCATACAAGCAGAAGAGGTGGGTTTACTACACATTCAAAAGTACAATCTAATGTCAAACATACCAGTGTTATTTCAGAGTAAGTGTGTGTGGATGGGAAGGAAGATACTCCTCAGTATCTCATGTAACTGAGATCAGAGTTCAGTCCTCAGCACTGATGTGTTATGAGCAGTGAATGTCCAGTTTTGCATAAACAAAATAAACCATATGTGTTTTAAATGAAAACTAATTCTGGCTTAGAACCTATAGGAATTACTACACAGATCCCTTATACATGCATGTATGTTAGCATATGCAGCTGCTCGTATTTGAATTACCACATGAAGATTTATACTGTGCAGATAACATTATCTCAGAAGCTATTAAATTAAAAGGAGTGAAAGACAATTTCTGACCACAGAACTACACATGTATTATACCCATAATCAAAGCTTCATGAAAGACTATGGAAGACCTTCCCAAGCTCACCTTCTTGATGAAGGTTATTGGATTTGAATGTGGGGCCTTTTCCATCTATTTTGTTGCTAACTTTCAATCAATGTTATTTAATTGCTAGTCACTCTAGAAGATTTGAGAGCATAAAAAGAGAAGTTTCTCTTAATCAGCAGTCAGTTTAAGAGAAAAATAAATTATCTTATAGAAGTAGGGAAGAGGTGCCTGCTTTTATTTACCTCAAAAGCCATCCTACATCCTGTATTTTTTTTTAGCACTGTATGAAAACCTGTGCTGCCAACAAGACCCAAAGTAGCAGGATCCGAGTAGCAAATTACAGCAAATGTCTGCTGGGTACATTGGCAGCCTTTACTGAATCTGCTTCTGGTGTAAGAGTGGTGAAGTTCTTGCTATTTCAAAGCTGAAAAGTAGTACAAAGAGGAAACAAGAAATTCACAACTTGATTTTTTCCTACTGATTCATCTGCGGATCAGTTTTGAAACCCTGAGCTCTCATTTCATTTGGTCTTCCCCTGAAAGTGTAGAAGGGAATGCCTGATTATTTGATATACTCCCCTGGGGTCAGTCGATATAACTAGTATCACTGTATAATTGAAGAGGAAGTCCATAGGAAATTTGAGCCTGCACAGAATTCAGGGATATTATTAGTGAAGAGTGGTTTAAGGAAATGGAAGAACATATGGTTCCATTAGTGTCAGGCTACATAATGATGCATTTTGTTCCCACGAAAAATATGCTTGTACACAAATAAATGTCTACTAGTGTCCATGTGTCTCCTTAAGAATCTGCCCATTGCTTTCTGATTATTTTCTTCAAAAGGAACCACTGACACCACTCTGCACAGGGCTGAGCACTCCCAGGGGAATATTCTGCTTACATCTGCAATGTAATTCCTATGTTTGATAACAAAAAAAAAAAAAAAAAACGCCGTGAAAAGGAGAACCTACCTTGCTGTCGGCACTAATGAGGAGTGGTTGCACTTTAATGCTGTCGTTGACCACAGAGACAGTCGCGCTGGTGCTGATAGGAGTTGCATTGTTGGGGGAGGTGGAAATGATGGCGTACGCCACACCTGCACTGCTCAGAGGTGATGAAATAGCTGTGGACTCGGTGACACTTTGTGACTGGCTGTTAGGCGTCTGTACATGGCTGACGGTGTTATTGGCAGTCGGGAGGGCAGGGCTGGGGTTTTTGATGCTGACTACGGTTGCCTTCTGGAAGGTAGGAGGCTGCTTGGAAGGTTGGTCTCTGCACGGGGAGATAGGGAGGCTGTCTGGAATCAGGGTCTTTGGCCTAACCTACAAATGGAGAGTTAGACAATATTAGGCAGAGCCTTCACACCGTAATGAACAAACACTGCATACATGCACTCTCCCAGTAGAATCTCTAATTGCATTAGCCATGGAACAGGAGCATCTGGAAAAACATAGTGTAACAACTCGAAGTAGCCAGCCATTCATTTACTTGTAGATATATTCCCAGCACTCCTCAGCTGGGTCATTCTGGAGTCCTTAACTCATTGCAATGCTGAACAAGAAGGAAGGAAAAAGTCAATTCCTCACTTTTATTAGCACACATCCATACAAATGCTACTCAAGTCGCATCCAGTTCTCAGTAGGGATGTTTAAGCAGAAGCCTTTGCAAAGAATGGAAACCCCAGACGCAGTAATTTCCTGTTCTGAAGGATACAACACTCTTGCTATGAATTAAGGAGTGAGAACTGAATCATTAAGGGAGTTGTGGGAAAGCTTTTACAGGAACAGTAAGTGTATGCATTTATGCTGCTGGATCAGTCAATGAAGGTCCTCACATTTTTAAGATGTACCATATCTAATAGGGAGGAGATCAATCACACCATCACTCAGCTCACAAAAAAAAAAAAAAAAAAAAAAATAAAAGAGAGGGGAAGAAAAGAAACCCACAACCATCACACTTCATCTTTCATTGCTTTAAGTAAAGAGCTGGTTTGCAGCTGCAGGTGGATGCAGAAGGAACTTCCACGCATGGAGGGAGAAACTGTTTGCCAAGATTTGCAAAGGCTGCGGCTTTACCCAGAGCCATGAATGATAGCTGCAAACAATTGTTCTCAGCTAATGTGATGTGTTTCCAGTGGGGTAATTAATGTCACCCTGTCAACATGGATCTGCCTTAACAACATATTAAGTACAGTTTCAGGATTGAAAATAAATAATTTAAACTGCTTCACATGAAGTTAACTTCACTGCCAGCTTATTCGTTAACACGGCCAGATAAAAGAGTCGGTTCCCTCTGTGCTTATTTAGTCCTGTCACTTCTCACACCTTCCATACTGTGAAACAAAATGACAAGTTGTAACAGACAGACATGGGAAACAGCTGCCTGTGTCACTGCACTGTAGTCTACAGGAGGTCTTCCAATGATGCCGACTTCAATCTTGAGCCTAAGTAAGCAATTTAATGAAAAAGTGGGGATTTATTGATGTGCAGAAAAATCACAGAATCACAGAATGGTTTGGGTTGGAAGGGACTTGAAAGATCATCTAGTTCCCACCTCCCTGCCACAGGCAGGGACACCTTCCACTAGACCGGGCTGCTCAAAGCCCGGTCTAACGTGGCCTCACACCTCAAAGTTGGCCACCATCCTCTATCGCATAAAGGAGGAGCTGTTTGTCCACAGTGAACATTAAGCACAGCAACACATGTATTGCAAGCTCTTCGTGTTTGGATAACTCAGCCCTCAAGTGCCAATAGGATCCTACCACCTACGAGCAGTGCAAACCTGTATTAGAGGCACAGCCCTGCCTGGGAGTGCCTGAACTGTCAGCAGCCAGGGTGTACGGAAAGTGAAAGAGGAAACAGAGCCAAAGAAGGGCAAAGAGGAGGGTTTGCCTGAGGTCCTGCAGCAGACTTGTGACAAAGGCAGGAAGCTGCTGTGTTCAGCTCCCAACTTCGGGGCAATACTGAAAGGCCTCATACAGCCACCGTGGAATGATGCAAAACTATGCTAAACTACAACTAACCATATTCAAGATACACCGACAGTAACTGGAGGGGGTTTTGTTCTTTTTCCTTTATCCAGTCACTTTATGTAATGATTATTTGATTTATTTAGTTAAGATACTAGACAAATACCCTGGCCAGGCTGTTTAAGAGAGGAGTCTATAATTAGCTTCATATACATAATTAGTTAATGGTCTTATTTTCAAAAATAGTGCACAGTGGATTGGTTTAAACCCACCTTGGCCCAGTCATTCTGCAAAACTAAGGCTTCTAACATAAACAACAGCTCAGTGCAATAAGAGACATAATACTTAAAGCAACTTGTTTTTATCTGTGTCAGAGCCAGTTACATGAGCAGATCTTGTAATATCTACTTTTTAATTTTCATAATAATGTTCCTTACCTCCTATGTTATATCTTATATAAGTCTCTCATATGTAAGCCTTTAACAAATTGCTCATGCTCATGTGCTCAGACACGTTCACAGATATAGTATCATTATTCAGAAAAGAAAGTCTGAGAAGCTTGGCAAAATACAGTTAAAATGTACTACCATGGCTAAAAAATCCAAATTTAATTCTTAGCTGTTTGGCTAACATCTAAATTTTACCAACTCTCCTTAAAACAAAATAATTTTCTTTTAAACTAATATAACATCTGTTACCAACAGAAATACCGTAAGCACACAGATAAGCACATATATACAGTGAAAGAGAGCGAGAAAGAAAACAAGGAGCATTTCACATCAAAGGTTCAACAGAACAGTCACTCAAATCTTTAGAAAAAATCAAGTCTGACAAAAAGTCAGCTCAGGAGTTTTTCTAGCCAAAAACTGTCATGTAGTCTACCAGGTTCTACTGTATCTATCACTCTTAACTGCACTTTTATATTTAATCAAAAGCCTAATTAAAACTAAATGCCTTTATATATTCCAGTTATATAATTATATTTTCTACACTATTACATGCATATATTGACTGTCAGATGTAATACCTCAGTAATCCTACACATGCCCTTAATCCACATTCTGCAAGTTGTGGATGAATGTATATTACTCTGCTATAAAATAAGATCTTCCTGCACAGACAATTAAACAGACTTAATTTTCCAAAGTAAAACACTGTCTATGAAGCGCTGCATACTGAAATAGCTGATAGGATTTACCAAACTTGTACAGCACAAGAACATATGCCGGGCGTTTTCTGCCACCGTGTGATACAAAGGAGGTATAGCGGTCTTCATACTCTAAGCCTCTGCAAATTCCCTGGCAAATTCAGCTGATATTGTGAGAGCATATTTACTTGCAATTATAGAACAATAAAAAGGGTTGACTACACAAAAAGTTTCAGGTGCTCCTGAGTTAAAGATAAAATAAGTCCACGTTAAAATGTTTATTTCTACAGCTCCCAGGGACGTATCCAAAACAGAAAGCAAGCATAGAAGCCCCTTAAGCTCTAACACCTATGAACCTTCCCCCCTTGAATATAAACACTAAGCATAAGCACTTAATAAACAGCTAACTGAAAGACCTTTAGCAGAGTTCCACATTAAAAACCGAACTGCTACAGTAATCTGTGAGAATAAATGGTGTCAGCTGGAAAGAAAAAAAAAAATAAGGAAAGAGCTAGCATAAATTCCTTTTCCTCACAGCAAAACTGTAGCTTAAATTTAGGAGATGAAAGGAAGACAGTGGCACTTGCGGAAGTTTGGAAGTTGACAGTCACGGAAGAAGATCTGGATGAAAACTAGGGCAGGGCACGGACTGCGTTTCGCGAGCAAGGTATCAAATAGACCTTTTTTACTGGAAGTAGCACAGGTTGGATGGCACCGGTCCCCGTTACGAGAGCCACAGAAATAAAAGGCACAAAAGTTTAGCAAAGGAGAAGAAAAGAAAAAGAATAACAGACAGCGTGTATGTTACCAAGTGAAAACTGTAACTGTTGGCGAGCGCTGCAAATAACAATTCTCCTGTAGTTCAACCCTCCTCTCCCCAAATATCTTTCATTTAACTTCTGACAGCTGTCAAAACAGAATGTGATACTACCAGGGCTCTAAATGCAGGAGGAGAGAGAGCTTCTTCTTGAATATAATAATTTCACAAATGTCTGTTGTTCTTGAGTTTCCTCAATACCCACAATAACAGAAAAATTTTATTTTAGGCAGCAATATTCAGACACCCCTGGTACTTCTCAAATAGACTGCAGGTAAGCACACTGTTCAAGAAGATATTCCCCCACCTGAGAATTCACTAGGTGGGGGCTGTCTGGTTTTCAGACAGAGAAATAACAGGGAGCCCAATCCTGTGAGATGTGCAGAGTGCTCTTTTGTTCAACAACCTCTAATTTAATATATTTTAAAGTTTCAGATCAGAAGAGAATCAGCTCCTGTGACTATTATGACTTCTTGTATATCCCATATCATTAAGCTTCATCCAGATGTCCCTATATGAAGCCCAAAGGCTTCCATTACACCAAAACATCATTCCAGCTCTCAAGATCGCAAATTGTTGAATACCACAGAGGTGAATGAACTGCTGAGTGGCAGAGGTGGGAGAGCCTGATGTGTGTCACAATTGACAAAGGCAACTGTGATCATGGGCAAGCTATTCCCTGAGCTACATCCCATCATGTGAGTCACTCCCATGCTGTAGTAAAGAAAAAGAAGGTAAAAAAAGAAAAACTCTTACAAAATAAGCCCTCAAGATCCAACACAAACAAGTATGGGGAAAAAGGAGGAAAAGGGAAGGAAAGCACACAATTCCTCCCATCTCTGTGGGCAATCCCATGTAGTCCTAAAGGACAGGATTTAATTAGAACAGTTATCTCTGTGAAGATCTGCAGGTGCTATGAGAATTGTTAAGGGCAATTCTGGTAAATGTGTTCTCCTTACAGCCTAGTGAAGAAGGGAAGTTAACAAGTGCACTTCAATTACAAAACCAAAAGAGACACCATGATCTGCCGTCTCACAGACTGCCCATAGAATTTCTCCTAGAAACCGAAGACTGATTTTGAAAGAAAATACTAAAGACTTTTTAACGATGCATTCATCACGAGTCCTAATAAACTGTTATAATATTTTATTATGCTCATGACTGGCATTTTATTGCAAGACTGAATTTGCCTAACTTCAGTTTCCAGTCCCTGGATCTTGTTATAGCTTTGTCAGCAACACTGAAGAGCCCTCCCCCTCCCCAATATCAGATATCAGCTGGATCGTGCTCAGCATCAATCAGTCCTTCATACTGGCAGGGCCGATCTGTATGAGAGTAAATTTTTCAGCTCAACGCAATATCACATTGCCTTTGAGAGAAAGACCATTAT